GGAGTGACAGTTCTGAGAAGTATCAAAAAACCATACAGTTATTACAGAGATTAAAATCAGTTTGTAAAAAAATCACACATATGAAAGTTTACATACACGAGAAAGCCGACCCAGGCGTTCTGGATGCAATTGTCCAGATCATTAAAATACAAAAAGGTATCAAAGAAGTTTCTTTTAAGAATAATATGATTTTGAAAGGAAATCTTTATCAATTTAGGCCACTTTTGGCCCCAGTCATGGAATCACAGGCAAATTGTGTAACTTCGTTGGCATTTCGATCGGTTAAGTTTAATGATGTTTCAATTGTTGCATTGGCTGGCTTCTATTCGTTGGAGTCTCTATGTCTACAGAAATGTCGAAATATGACGAAAGAGCATAGTGTTACACTGTCTGCAGCATCATTCCGTCTAAAGTTTTTATCTCTGTTGAGAAATTCTTGGTCGAATTCTATTACTGCTGCACTTATTGCTAAGGCAGGTGTTACTTTACAACAAATGGTACTGGACAATGTTTGCACAGAAACTACTCAAGCAGCATTAAACCACTGCCCAAACCTTAATATTTTATATATAGAGGTATCAGTTTACAATTATAGCCTAATTACATGGATTGGTTCAACAAATATTCAACAACTTGAAGTATCATTCGGTGGAATATTCCGCTTGTCCACTGAAGATACAACTAGATCATTGCATTTATTAGGAGAATACCTTCCTACTTCTGTGAATTATTTAAAATTGGATGGGCTATACATTTCTAATGAGGCATTTAACGATTTTATTAATAGTTGCAGAGCTCCGTTATCAACATTAATTATTTCAATTGATTGTTATCACGATTTCGAAGAGAGTGTACTCACTGTCCTCGAATTTGCATCTAAACATAAAACTTTGAAAAAATACGGAAATTATGATAACAATAGGTATGTACATAATGTGTCTATTAAGGAACTGGAAAAACACGGGATCAAGATATTGAATACATATGATATTAAGAGTCTTTCATCGAAAGCATTTTAAAGCATTTTAAGGCATGTATAAAGGATTTTAATTGGTCAGATGGTGATTCCCTCATATAAACAGGTTGAGAATATATACTTAAACGCAAGAAGGAATTCAATTAATAATAGACATCGATCCTTGGTTTATCGCATCATTTAGATTTTTAGAACTTTCTTACAGAAGATTATTTATTGGCTTTGTTATAAAAATGTTGCACGATTATATGTTACAAGCATTTATTGTACCAGAGCAAAAATTAATACATGGATGGTACAAGAGAATAATTACAATCATGTAAATATGAACATTTTGAGATGTTGAAAAAATATACTCGAGAAACGAAATACTTGCAAGAATAATAAAAATTAGAATTAATTCAATATAATTCCCTTAATTAGCAATTATGCATCAATGAATTTTATATGCATAGTACCCTAAGTTTTCTCTATATTTTCATCAAAGATCTGAGTAGAATTGTGAAGTATTACAATTTTTGCAAATTTGGATATACTCTGCAATTGATAAAAGCTTTGATTAAAGAGTAAGCTTACGGAATACTGGACATACAAATTTTATTGATGTGTTGCACAAAACTGCAAATTAAATTCAATATTTAATAGACATATTCATAAAAAAATATATATATATTTTGAAAGGGTTGTATAGAAATTTGCGCGATTTTGCACTAATCTTCACAGACAAATTTCTAGCGTTATTTACAAGATGATACATTGTGATCATGTACTGTACTCTTATGCAAATATTTGGGCATATTTGGGTTATATACACTATTAAGCCATTGAATGCAAAACAAAATATTAATTAGATGTATTGAAGAAGAGGTAAGCCTGACGCAATTTTCAAAGTCTTACATTAACTTCGGATTTGAGATGATAATTCCGCGCAAAATCCCGTAGTAATCTTTTTTCGTGCTGAATTTCATAAACAGTATTAGTAAGGATAGCATCACTATAGAATTCTGCATACCATTTTTTTTTATCAATAGGCACCACTCTAACGACTTTATTAGCCTCAATAGAACTCGGATTACTCAAATTACATGATCAATTTTACATATACAATCGTCCGGAGGATACAAATGATCTAACCAGTACAATATTTTGGATCAGTATGTCTTCTATCAGATTTTTTTACTCAGAAAAAATTGGAGTTGAGACTGCAACTTTGAAAAAAGGTATTTTTCATATATTATGCATAAATTAAATTAAACTCTTCTCTCATTGTTTTTATTCATCACTTGGTATAGGTATAAAATCAATGATAGGTTCTAAATTCCCTTCAGATATGAAACCTGCCATTACATTTATTCCAGTTATAACTATTAGTGGAGGTTGTGTGGTAGGTATTTGCGTTCAATGTGGTTTCTAAGCAGGTATGTAAAGCTTTTGTTAATCATAAAGGACTAATAGGTTAGAGACTTCCTATAAAGATTTTTAGTTAGTAATAAAAATTTTTAATAAGTCTAGAGGCTCTATAAAGATAGTGGTAATAAAAATTTTTAACTAATGAATCTAGAGAATTTAACTAAAGTTTAACTTTTTGGTACACACGAAAATTTTGATTTTATTTCATCTTTTATAATAAACATTAAAATTATAGCCTTAGATTTAACATGGTAGTAGGTGTTTATTGGAATTTATAAAAGGAAAGCTTTTATAAGCCAGATCAAATTATGATTCTAATTACAGCTTTAAAATGTTTATATTGGGAAAAAGAATAAATGGTATGCAGAATTCTATAGTGATGCTATCCTTACTAATACTGTTTATGAAATTCAGCACGAAAAAAGATTACT